CACACATGCATTCCAATTGATTCTAGAGATCAAATATTAACGTTGCTGACCGTCTTTCACAGCTTCTCTCCTTTTCTGGGTTGCCTGTCTGCCCACTTTCCGATGCTCACATACAGCTCTCCTGGAAAAACCTCTTTCCTCAGAGGTTTTGCACAACCAAAAGTTGTTATTGAGCCGGCAGTATAACCCACTCCATGTTCCATCTAACATATTTTCTGTCCACAATGGACGCTGCCCTAAGAAGAAACCTGGATCATCCACTGCGTATGCACTTTCCCACACCGTTAATAAACTACTTGCCATTTTGCATCCTGAGTATCTGAGTGATTTCTGCATGTGGGTCAGGAGGCTTGCAAGGGCAGGAGAACTAGGCAAAGTTATGTAGGAAAACTTAACAGGATCTGTCTTTCACTTCAGCCTGGCTCCAACGAAATGGCTAAAAAACCTACAAGTGAACAAAGATTTTTGATCGGTTGATTGCTTTATTTTAGCTTTAAAACATTTTCATGTCATGCCTGCTGTGGACATTATATCCCCAGGATTTAGTGCTAGGTTTCATGTCTGGATATCTCATTAAATTTCCACATGTATATTAATTTGAGTACATTTCATAAAAGTATATTTTTTGTACAAAATAATAAGCTCCTTTATTAGTTAGAGCATATACCTAAGATGTAAGACAAGAAAGTTTTATAAAAGAAGCTCAAGTTACACAGGAAAATAATTTTCACTCTAACATAAATCTAACATGTAATTTAAAAAAAAAGGAAATTCTACTGTTTAGATTAATAAAGGAACATATTACATGGACATTCAAGTTTTTATGTATTTCCTGTTCGTTTGGTCCTCTTGGTTTAATTCAAACACCAAAAACTCACAAAACTAATTTTATGATCATTGTATGCTGCTACAGGGCCAAACACCCCATAATTATATTCAGGCTTAAACTGTAGCCTCTATGCTTCCTCAAAAAAGGGTGTAAATACGGTGGAGCGTCTAAGCAGAAGCATAGAATCTGTGTTTTAGTTTAATGAAATGTTAGATTATAAGATTATAAGTGTAAATGGAATTTTCCCCTCCGGTTAACAACCATCTGCTACTTTGTGTTGGTCTTTTACCAAACTCCCAAGAAATATATTGGCATTTGTGGAAAATGTAAAAAAAAAACAAAAAAAAAAAACACTTTGTGGGTGGGAATGCTTTTAAAAGACGCTACTTCAGCAAAAAAAAGAAGAAGATTTTGCTTCAAAATTCATATTTCTTTTTGTCTCCATCTGTTTTTCAGGTTCTTTTTTCCCAGCACTGAAACCATCGGAATCTGTGTTTAAGTTTATCTTTTGGCTGGGATACTTCAACAGCTGCATCAACCCAGTGATCTACCCCTGCTCCAGCAAAGAGTTCCAGCGGGCGTTCACTCGGCTCCTCAGATGCCAGTGTCACCAAAAGAGGAGGGTCCTGCGCCGCTTCTATGACCAGAGGTGGAGGACAGCTGTGAAGGGAATGACCAGGGATCAGATGAGGGACTACGCTGCTGGCTACCCAATGCACGAATCTTGTGGAAGGTCGTTGATACACAAGAGGAAACATTGCTCCCTGGGGTTAAAGAAATTGAGCCTTTTCTCACCCCTGCAAAAGTCCTCCTTCCAGTTCAAAGAAAAAGTGAACGACCTGTCCAATAAAATCAAAGGAGGAACAGGAAAAGGCACACCACCTGCCCTGGGCGAGACCGATACAGTGGAAACAGTCTCCATGGGGATTTACAATTCCTGTGAGCAGAGCAGTTTTCAGTTCTACGATTTGGCAGAGTGTTATGGCCTTAAAGAGACTGACATTTAGAGAGCCTCTGAGGACACTTTTAGCTATTTCCAAAGGACCGTGCTGCTCCTTCTCTCCAGTCACTCTGACGGAGCATACTTCTATGGTCGGAAAAAGCAAAGTACGGCAAAACTAAGAGTAATGACTTGACACCAGCACAAACTGGACTTAACCTTTGTTTCATTGCAAGTCGTGTTTATGTACATGATGTGGCTAAAAAGTACAGTTTTGACTCCCTGGATTTATACTTTGTCATTTTAACACAGGTTCATGTTCCTCAGCCCACAACGTGGGTTAGTCTGTGTTGATGTATTTTGTTAAATTATATTTCTGACAGCCTCCTTGTGTTCAATTATTAGGCAACTGATGATGTGTATAATGCAACTGTGACATCTATGATTAAAAAAAAAAAAAAAAACTAGTAGGAGGAACAAAAATCTTTTCGCTGCTCGGAGAAAGTGTAAGCATAAAAGTCAAAAGTGCAATTTGTATTGTTGATTCAAACTTTGGAGTGTAATATATCAGAAATATTATATTCCTTTCGAAATGTTTGTAAAGTTTAACTTCTGCTGCATTTGTAAGGCAACCTGACACAAATATGTACATCAAAATGTAATTTGCCCTCCCAAGTGATTGCGACTGTGAAATAAATGCGCTTCTTCGTGTTTTGTAACGTAATGTTTTTGTCAGATGTAACGCAAAATAAAAAGGGAGAAAAAATATTTGAGAAAAAAATATATTTGAGAAAAATATTTTTTTTATGCTTGACAAAAGAACACGCTGTTAAATGAATCCACTGCGTTCAGACAAACGTCATTATTTGATTTGGATCTTTTTTCTCTATAAGATCATTCATATATATATATATTTTTTTTCATTAAAGGTTATGCTTTGTATGTTCTATAAATCGTTCTTAAAAGAAACAAATTAAACGTACAATCTCTGCACACTTTATATGGCTGCGCACAACTAATGTAGTTGGAGTTGATATCTGTTCAACTGGTTGCCGTTTTTGTTCTAAACTAAAGAGCCATTTCACCGTTTTAATGAGAATCTTTATTGCGAGAACTATCACTATGTTCATCTGTGTGCAACCGCTGCACCCCTTAGCCATTCACCTAACTACTTTCCAACAAGATTTGTATTCATAAAACCTTTTAAGAGAGGTTTTGGAGAACACAGTAAGGAGTATGCGGAGTTTACTCAGCCAACAAGTTTGCTGGACCCGCATCTGATGGGATCTGATGACATCTGTTGGTAGCAGACCCCACTGCACAATCCGGATTTCTGGTATTTGCCCAAAATTCAGAGATAAATACAGAGAATAAAGAAGGGTAAGAAAAACTAGACACAGCCAGAATCAGGATATATTTTTAGAGGTTTTTCCTCATATTTACTCACTCATTCCTGAAAAAAAAAGCAGAGAAAGAAAAAAACTTTTCAAAGCTTTATACCAACTCGTGTTAGAGAAGTCATCCGCAGCCATATGTTGATTCCACTTTCACAGCTTGCAGTTACATGAAGCATCAGAGGCAGCCAAAGTGACAGCCTGCCCAGACTCCTAATTGTGAACTGACAGCTTTGATCCTGTTTTAACTATGATATGACTCTGAGTAAGGCTCAGCGTTAATAAACAGACTGCAGCTGGTGGCTGACTATTTTGAGAAGGACTAATTTGCAGTGCAATCTGGGCATTCAGTGTCTAGGATTATGCTATAATTTACATTAGGAGGAAGTATACAGAGGAACACAGACCTTCAAGTTATGTTTTCGAAAGCCAATTTTTTTTTCACTGACTACCTTACTGCATGCAGTGTCAGACATAAAGTGAATTATGCTTTCAACATTTAGAAGCTGTCGGCAGACGTAGCATCACACAAGATCGCCTTCTTGTTTTTATAGCTCGCAATTAATTAGGCTTTAAATCAATCAATCAATCAGTCATTCAAGTTTATTTGTATAGCAACAAGGCAGTTCAAAGTGTTCACATCATGAAAACATAAAAACATCACAAACACATCATACAGTCACCAATTATGAAACCAGTAACGGACATTGCATTTTGTCAAGTGCCATCATTAAAATCGTCAATACACATCAAAATTAATGTTCCATTAATGACTATTAATTTTAGTCAGTATGTTTAGAATGTACATGTATCTTGTGTATTAACTTAAAACATCTGAAAGAGAAACAAAAGCTGTCCTTAGATTAAATAAATAAAAAGATAAATTAGGACTTTCTCTCTTTTTTTTTACAACACACTCTGAGTTGCTCTTCAGGTTCTGATGTGAGGCTGACTGCATAAGGAAACTACAAGCAGTGCGTCCAGCTACTTTTTACAGGTTTGTTTGATATATCTAGACAATTACTTTGGTTATAATTTGTTGTTACATAGTTATGTGTACTTTATGCTTCAAAAATCAGTTTCATGTCTTCTCCTCACCTTAAACCTTTAGTAATATGAAGTTTCAAGCTAGTTAATCATTGTTTAAACCCTCACATGGCTTTCTGTTGATCCATAGGTGAATGGTGTAAATAAGAACAACATGCTGCTTATAAACTTCAAAACCAACAATACATTGTTGTTTTTTTCCACAGAATAATATGTAATTTTTTATGAAAATCTTAATACTGGCCAAAAATAAACTGAATTGTATTTTCCATTTAAATTCATACCGGTACCATTAAATGCTCACTGCTGCAAATTAAAATAGAACAGAACGGAATAGAAACTTTATCATCTTAAATCGGATTTAGTAAAACATGACATAGTTCATTTACATTAGTCTTTTGCAAAATATGCAAAAGATAAAATATGCAAACTTTTTTCCATACATGGCAGAAGAATATTGAAAGCATTTACATTTCATATCAGACAAAAGACAATGTTCACCACAAACATTGCCTGCAGCTTACGACAGTGTGCAGTACTCAGTGTGTGCAATGGTAACCATGATCAACTGAAACTTTTCATAAGAGAAACACAAAAGCCTTCTGCTGTTCACATTTAGAAAGAAAAAATGACAGTTTGAAACCTGTTCTCAGAAAAATTTGTTTATGAGACTAATTGTTTTCACTGGAAGGACTTTAATTAAAATGTAATTAAAATTTTTAAGGGTTAGGTAGCCTCTACCTAGTGGTGGAGATAGACATTTTTTATGGAGGTGGTCAGGCTGGGTCTGCTGTCCTCTCAGGGGTCTGGCTAGTGTACTGGAGTTCAATTTTTGCAAATAATATCACCCAAACATCTTGCTCTTACTTGAGGTTTTTATAACTCCACGTAACATGCACAGATACCTTAATTTCACAATGACTCTCGACATTAGTTTTTCTCTTTCTTGGAATGTGACAACTCCATTCCAGACGATATTCCAGGCAGACACACCCTGCAGCTGAGAAACATGAGAAATGCCCTACGAAAGCAGCGATTGAAAAATCCATACAGGAAGGGATTTAAAGATGAGTTTATATATCCCAACCAGAGAAAAACATCCCAGACGACCCCTTCGGTGGTGTACTCAATGAACGGATCCACAATGTTGACAGTGAAGAAAGGCATCCAGAAGATAAGGAAAACTCCCATTATGATGCCTAAAGTTTTTGCAGCCTTTCCTTCCCTCTTCATCGTATTGCGGTGTCTTTTTTTCTTGCTCGAGTCTTTGCCCACTCCAGCAGCCATTTGGCTTTCCATGGCACTAATCTGCTTGGCCTGTCGCTTTGCAGCTTTGAAGATCTTCCAATATGCCACGAGCATAACAGCCATAGGCAAGTAAAAGGCTACCAAAGAGGCCATGACAGCATAAACGCGGCTGACCAAGAACACACACACGTCTGAAGGAATAAAGATGTCAACATCAGCAACGTGAAGATCTAGCATTATGGGGCCAAACGAGATGAGCATAGGAACAGTCCAACAAATGGCAATGAGGAGAGCTACATGACTGTTGGACATCTTTAGGGAGTAAACCAGGGGATTGCAGACTGCATAATACCGATCAAAGGCAATGCAACTGAGATGGAATATGGAGGCAGTACACAGCATGACATCTAGGCTGGAGTGAAGCCTACAAAAAAGAGGACCAAAGTACCAACATCCCTCCACAGTCCGAATCATGCTAAAAGGCATCACCAGCAGCCCAACAAGGCAGTCAGCCACTGCAAGGGACAAAACAAAAGAATTTGTTGGCGACTGTAGCTGTTTAAAGTAGGAAATAGACAAGACAACCAAGAAGTTGCCCACGACAGTGCAGCCTGTGCCAACCGAGAGGAAGGCATACAGGGAAATCCGTGAGATCTGGCTCCTCAGTGTGGCGCATGACGGTAGCTCAATAGGAAGAGAAGCGTTATCATTTCCAGGCCATGCCAGGCTGCTGTTCTCCATGTTCTGCTCAAACCTGTCAAAACACACATTCACATGTGAATTCCTAAACACCTGGAAAAATACTTTCAAATAATTTTTTATTTTACATTAGCCAAAATATGGGCCTTGGCCTCATATTGAGATAAACTCCATAAAGCATCTGTGTAGTATTGTGAAGAGGAAGATGAGAAAAAAACAGAACCAACAAAGCAAATGAGCTGAAGGCTAATATTACAGCAACCTGGGCTTCCTTAACACCTCCGCAGAGCCATATAATGATCGCCTCCATGTAACGCTCCACTGATGCAGTAATACTTGCAAAAAGACCTCTGGCCAAGTATTCGGTGCAAATGTTCTACAGTACAAAGACGTACTAATCAGTAGGCTGGCATTTTTGTGTTAAACTCCTTTTTATTGGTTTTATGTAATATTCCAGTATTTGGAAAAACTACATTTTGGTTTTTCAATTGGTGGAAAGAGCTTGGACTTTATCATTTACTGACATTGTGTATATGGGGTTGTCCTCTGACCCTCATCTCTATGTGAATACACAATTTTTTTCAGGTCTATGTGAACTTTAACTATTTTTCTTAATGCTGAATCCTACCAACAGTCACAGTTCAGTGCATGAACAGGATTGAAGTTCTCTTCTTAATGTGGCTATTTACAATTATTAAACAAAGCACCATTGTTTTTCTTCCCTTGCAAATTGCTTTGCAAAACATATAAGAGCCTAAGATAACTTAAAAAGGTAATATTTGACAAACCATTTTGTTATTTGCTTCTGGCAATTAAAAACATATCGAAATAGTTTACAAAATCTATTTTTATCTCTTGGCTACATTAGTGCCTGTTGTGGATTATTGTAGAAACAGCTCATGGATGATGCTGACAGAAACAAGAACAGTCCATACAAACATGTTTCAAACGTCAATTAAAACAGCTATCTGCCCCTTCTTAGCCAATGGTACTAAGAATAGCAATTGCAAGCTTATTTATATATATATATAGTTTGTATTAGGTTGTGATCTAAAGTAACTCACCTGAACAGAGGAGAGATGATGATCGTCTGCCCTCAGGTCTGTTCCATAGTAAAATGCTCTATCAGCCTTTGTTTCATCCAGATGACAGAGACGGGAGAGGTGGGAGGTGGGTTTTGATTAATGCATGCAACAATAACTACCATGACAGAATATACTCTGCCAACAACTCCCTTGCCAAATCAATTCAAATTATAACAGAAATGACAGCTGAGGGACTTAGAATTTTAAATGCTCTGATGAAACAGTCAGTTATTTGTTGTATGTTGAAAAAACAGTGTAGCATCCAAGCACAGAACTAAATTGGACAGTATTAGACTGTCAGGATCGGAAGTTTTCTGTTTA